GGAACTGCAATTTTTGGCAGTTGCATGTTGGCTTCATTTTTCAGCCCTGAAGGTTGCTGCTTGGTCTAAACTTCTCATATGGCATTCACGATTTAAAAGAAAATAAAAAAGTTTTCCCCTTCATGACAACTTATTAGAGAAATGTCCAAAAAACAAAATCAAATTTGTGTACAAGAACTTATTTCTCCACCCATTAATCATATCACAAGCGCCTTAGAATTATCTTTTGACCTTTCGAGGGGCCCGACCCCTATGTTGGGACCACTGGACTAAACAACCTAGAATTTTGAATGCGGGACTTTTATTTATATATTCAAATATTTTTACATTGTGATATCAGCACTTAAGTAAAAGGTCTGAGTGCCTCTTCCAGCACTGCCCATGACTAATGGAAGACCTGATATGTCTTTGATAGTGTACAATTCATTTATACGCCGCAAAAGTCACTATAACTAAAGCCGCTACACTTGAGTCCCTCACTACAGTGGGGCAGTTAAATTGCAAATGAATGCATCCCAACCAGGACTAATGCAGGTAAAACTCTAATGGGCTGAGTCAAAGAAAGGCTTTGATCTTCCCTCATTAAAAAACCTGACTGTTAAAGAATGATGTTGCGAACCTTAAACTGAAACTTGCAAAAAGCCAATTAAAGCAATACAATCATGTTTCACAGAGGGCTCTACTGGGAAGTTCACTATGAAGCAAAACCGGCATCTTGTACTTATCTACAATGGATCCAGAAAACTTCAGCTGCACATAAGGGCTGATGTCTACCGACTTTTGTAGTCTTTTATTTAACAGATTATCATTGATGCATTAAGTTTACTGTCAGATGCCCATCCTGTCTGTCTCTTCTGTCAGGGCCTTGGGATCGGTACTAGTTTGCTGCACAGAGGATGTGTTTTTGCCACGCATAGCACACATAGCAACACTAATGATCAGTGCAATAAAACCAAGAGGAGGAGTGCACTGTTGGTCAGAATTAACTGCACAACTGACCTATGTAATATTTTGTTGCATGGAAAGGATGTTGCTATTTTGCAAAGCATGTGATCTTGTCTTTTTCCCCTGACTTCCCACCAGAGCTGCGTATTTATGTTCAAAACATTCACTCTTTGCCTTCAGTTTAAGGACTTTGTAATTTTTGGTTTCAAGTGTGAGCAAGCATCAGATGAGACATGCTGTGCTGTGCTGTCATCTATATGAAAAGGAAATTCTCTCAGATTATTATCATTACTTTGCCTCCTCCGCTCCGGCAGGTTTTGAGGGTCATCTTATACAAAGGTTATCTGATGGTGTGAACTCATTTACAATCCTTTTTTCCCTGAAAATGCTCTTCCACCACTTCACATATAAATCAGTAGTTTCCTACCTACATAGGTCCTATGTTCCTATACTAGTCCTCTGCTGCGATTAGCGATCATTTCTTTTAATCTCAAGTGTTGATTGCTCACCCATAATGGGATCCATTGCTGTGAGTGCTTGAGCACTTGACTAAATGTGCTGAATATCAAGCCTTGTATTTACTGCTTACTGCTGCATAGCAGACCGCTGGTACTAAGAATCAAAGCAGAGTAGACAAGAAGAAATAAACAACCCAAGGTTTTGCACACAGCTGAAATGACCATGTCAGATCTTGAGGGCAAAACCGTTGCATTTCTTCTTGTCTCCCTTCAAAACTGAAAATGTGGGATACTGGTGGGAGTTTCACTGCTTAATGGCAGCGGACTGTGCCTGTTGTAGCTGCACTTTGTGATGAATTGATCTCTTTCTGTTATTGCTTTTTGGTGACTTTAAATCAAGTTTTGCTTTGAACCAAAAGAATCAGTTTACATCCACTCTTAATCACTAAATTCTTATTCAGTGTGTGAGTTGACTGGCCCGATGTAAAATGGTTTAAAATAAATGGATATGAAAAGACATTTTTGACTCTTCAAAAGAAAAGTCTGTCAGTTGCTAAATCAATAGCTCGGCTGCATTTCTTGTTGTTTTGCCCTTGAGCAAGACCATTACCACCTACCTCCTCACATACTCTATATGAAACTACATGAAAGGATGAAAGGTAAACATGCGCAGCGATTAAAGCCTTCAATAGCAAGAAAAGGAAACACTGCGAGAAATACTATGAAAGCAAGAAATAACATGAATCTCTTGAAGTGTTATGACTGTATGCAGACCAACAAGTGAAACAATGATCTGGCATCACAATAACATATCTTTGTAGTCACATCTGAATAACAATTCCATCACAAGGACAGGCATGCACATGTGGTTGAGCAGACACACACTCTAATGTATGCACAACTAATGCAATAGTCATCACAATATACCACTGGTTTTAAGTCCCATAAGAAAATTCTCTTTTCATTTTCCTCCAGCAGTGAGGTCAGAGCACAGAGCCTCTCTCCCAACTGAAAATTATGAAGCTGTGCAGTGCAAATTTTAGTAGGATAAACTTTCAGCATCCAGTAGCAGCGCTTTGATGTCAGTAAGCTCAGTCTATCTGTGGCGCTACTGTATGGAGCTCCTTCACACACACACACACACACACACACAAACAAAACCCCTCACACATACACACTTGTGTGTACCTTGCATTTGTGTTTGTTAAGTTCAATGTTCAGTCTTGAATTTCAAAATGCTTTTAACACATCGTCTTTACTAAATGACAGCAAACGTAGGGACATCTGTGGCATCTAAATGGCAGCGTGACGAGGATGCTGGATTGCAGGTAATTGTCAGGGAGCTGGTGTAAGGAGGGGATGAGCACAGGTGAATAAACGCACACCTGTCCCCAAGTGTTGCTTCTGATTTTTTTTTTTTTTTTTTTTTTTAAAGGAGCACGCACTTCTTGAGACTCACACAGACTGTACAGAGCGGTCGGAATGAAGCACAGTATAAGTGAATATGGGAAGTTACAAAACAAAAACATACATACATACCCAGACATGCAGAGTTTATGAAACATACACACACAGGATCCAAACAAAACCTCATTTTGTAAAAATTTTGGGCAACTCACTCCCTCACAAACACACGAGCACATAAGCACCAGCCTGATTCACTGACAAATTAATCCTCACATCTGTTCTGCTGGAGACTGAGAAGGGATTAACCTGCTGCTTTCACTGCCTCATTGGCTCACACGCAAATGAACAGACATGCACACCCACACCCACACATATACAGCAATTTTACTCCTATACTGTACAAACATACAAATGCACGGAAGCACAGAAGCATGACAGTATACAGTACATGCAAGGACACGTGTGAGCATGAATGGACACTGAGAGTCTTGCATTCATAGATATCTTCCATCAAATCAGAGGATGAGAGTCATGACATCACCAAAAGAGGGACAAAAAACCTAAAAAAACATATCCGTGTAAACACACCTCAGAGATAAACAGATGTAATTCAGTGGTGTAATTCAGGCAGCTCCTGCAGGTGGCGCTGCACACGCTGCATGTTGGCCAGAAGCCAAATCACAGACAGTATTACAGTACTGGTGGCGCTTCAGCAACGAGCCATTGGCAACAAACCGTTTACAAACACATACAGGCGATGGATGGATTGCGAGGAATGTAGTTGGACAAGCCTTTCAGCAACGTAACCTGACTGAGGAAATGCGTATGTGGAGGGCTGATACACAAACACGTGGAGACACACACAGGACTCCAAAAATAAAGGTTGAATAAATAAAACAAATGCGCCATCGCAATTACTCACCAATCACAAATGACTATAATTATGGGAGAGCACTAAAAATTTCAAGTGACACACACAGACAAAAACACGCACACACACATACAGAGTAATATATATGTACATAGCCTACTGTCATATACAGTTTATGAATGGCTAAATATGTGTGTGTGTGTGTGTGTGTGTGTGTGGGTGTGTGGGTGTGTGGGGGGTCATCAGAGTGTGTGGGTGTGTGTGTGTGTGTGTGTGTGTTTGTGTGTGTGTGCACATGTGCCTGCATCTCAGTTAGTGTTTATCGGTCTAGGTAATTGGATCTGAGCAGTACATGTCGACACTGGCAGCCAATCAAATATTTTTTCAATTTTGCTGCCAACAACATTAAATCCCTCTGCAATATAAAACACAAACACACCCTTGTAATCACACTGTACACAAACTCACACACACACACACACACACACACACACACACACACACACACACACACACACAAAAGCAGCTGCTTAATGGCACGTGTGTGAGGATACAACAAAGCAGCAATTTGAAATTTTAGTTGCGTCACAAATCATAAACACACACACGTGCGCTCACACACACACACACACACACACACATAAGCATATAGCACTTGCACAGAGATGGTTGTGAACTGCCTTCAGAACAAAAATGTCACTGTCTTTAATTTCCTCCCTTTTATGTTTATGGTTGTTTTATGTTTTATCTTTCCGTCTTTTATCTGAGCCCACACACACACACACACACACACACACACACACACACACACACAACCCTTCCAGGCAAGTAATAAGTATTTCACAGACTCAATCAGCAGAGACAGACAGAAAGCTGCAGCAACAGGAGCTGAAACTTACCTCCTCCAGACCAAAGTTCATCATCACCAAAAATAAGAAAGGTGAGGGTATAAGAGGTAGAGAAGAGGTCATCACTGTGTGTGTGTGTGTGTGTGTGTGTGTGTGTGTGTGTGTGTGTGTGTGTGTGTGTGTGTGTGTGTGTGTAAGTAGGAAGGAGAATAAGGCACTAATAGAACAATACAGGAGGCTTTTGAAGGAAAATTACTCATTTAAAAGGGATTTCCAAAATGAAGGGAAAATCAGGAGAGTAGAGCAACCAGAGGTGGATATATCACTCTACCTGTCATTGGACAAAAGGGGATGATTAAAAAAAACTCAAAGGAAGAAGGAAGAGAGAAGAGGGCAATGGGTGTGAAGCATATAGCATCCTGTTTTTCAGACAGTGTGGACAAGAGAGAAGAGAAGAGAAGTAAATCCTACCTGGAGTTGTTCGGACAACGTGGTGGTCTGCCTTGTAGTCAGAGCTGGAGCTGAACTCTCCTCAGGACGCAAAAACACTTGCTGACCGCGTCTGCAGGCATCAAAAACAACAGTCAGGACCTGTGTGTGAGTGTGTCTTTGTGTGTTTGAGTTGTCCGCTGTGCACACATGAAGTCAGCTGTTACAGCCTGGATGATAAGCTGCTGGAAAAAGATCATTTTCATACATACACACACACACACACACACACACACACACACACACCAACTTATCTTTTCCCTGAACTGAGGAGTGCAGGAATTTAAAGAAGTGTGTGAGGGAATGTTGGGGAAAAGGTGAGTGTGTTTCCATGTGTGTGTGTGTGTGTGTGTGTGTGTGTGTGTGTGTTTTTGTGTGTGTGTGTGTGTATCTGTTAAGCCCTTACAGGTCCTTCCCTTTCTTCCTCTCAAGCGCAGTCATGTCATCTCCACCTGTCGTACGCAGAGAGGGCGCTGGAATCACACACACATTCACACACACAGCGACGCACCGATGCACACACTTGCGCCGGCAGGCTGAGACACACACTGACGCGCTAACACCACGAGCTGCAATGCATTGAGCCCAGAGTGAACACAGTCCCTCCTCCTCTCTCCTCCCACCTCTCTCTCTCTCTATCTCTCTCTCTCTCTCCCTCTCTCTCTCTCTCTCTCTCTCCCTCTCTCTCTCTGCTCCTCCTCTGGGTCTTACTGCCTCCCTCAACCCTCCCCATGTTTCACTTTCCTCTTGTCAGTGTGTACGCCAGCAGGATGCATACACACATAAAAGCACTATACTGCAGGCACAGTACAGTGTGGACTCAGTTTGACAACATGGGGAGCAGCGGACTAATGAACCTACTTGCAAATATTTCGAATATTATTTAAAATAAAGCTCATTGCTTTTGAATTTAACATATTTTCACACAAAAAAGACTGTTGGACTAAACTGAATATCACACATATTTTGGAGACTGTCCTCAACACAAAAGAGACGCTATTGTTCCTTCGTTCAATAATTGTTAAATGACCTATCGCATCAACATCCCATTCTACCAACAATCAACGCTGGTGTCTGCAGACTGCCGTTTGCATCCCGTCTCTTATCACCAGGTAACTGGAGTTTCTTTTAACCATGATTATAATCTAACATTTTCCAAGTCATTTTAATGGCATAAACTTAACCAAACGATACAGATGACAGATCATGAAAAAATCTCATCCCAAGGTCTGTTTATTAGCTGTCCTGGAGCTTTGAGTTATATTACAAGAGCTTCATCAGTAGATGGAGTTTACCCATTTGTCAGGGAATTACAGATGTCCATTTTCTTCTGAGCAGTTTAAGACACTTCTCATCCCCAGTGGTTCAACAACTGTGATATAATATGATCAAAAGCCCCAGTACAGCTAATAAATGGACCTTTAGGTGAGATTGTCCTGTTCTTATGTTTATCACAGTTCACAGTAAATTAGGTGTTCTTGAGTCATGCACAGTTCAGAAAAGAAAGTGTAAACTCAAACCCAACAGTTCCTCAAAGTAAGAAGAAAATATGCACAAAAACAAATAAATAAATAAACAAACAAACCACCAGTGTTTGCCTGCAAATGCTATTATTTTTTCACACATATTGATATATTTTTCTTAATTCAAAATAAAACAAAACTAATTCCTGGAAAATGAATCCCTGAAATTCAAAGGCTGGATGAAACCTAATTTAGCCCCACAACCAGCACTAACAGAAACACAGTCACACACAATGCTTATTTATAACGCATCAAAGATTTAAAAGATTTATCTCCACCGCTGTAGCTCTTTACATTTAATCAGCTGGCAGATTCATCATATCAGCCTCCGTCTGCTGCAGGAAGCTTCCCATGTGCCTCTGACAGCGGACTCTCTGAGGTGACATTGCACGTGACAGGACATTTAGCATGAAGACGTACAACAGGTTGCATAGGACTGTCTAATGCTGTCCATCAATGTGACAGCATACCTTACTAAAAGCAAGCTTGCCAGAAGCTACGCACACTTACACACACAATGTCATGTCACAATCACAGAGAAGATGTATGTCTCAAGCAGCGGCATCAAGTCAACACTGGGCTGCTTACAATTTAAAATTCTGAGTGTTACTCATTTTGAGGGATTTTTAGTGTGTTGTGGCTGAGGATAAGAATACAGTTCTGCATATTCTTTCAAAAAGGTGTTAAAAGGGCATTTTTTAAATGTGGATCACTAAAAAGGGGACTGACTGAATAAATGCAAAGCTATCAGAGGCAAACAGTCACTACGTTGGATTACAACCGGCTGACAAAAGCAGCTCCTCTAATTCAAATGAAGTAAGCCGCTTCAGTTCAAATGCTGAAAATTGGCCTGACTGAGAGAAGATACTGTTAATTGTTTGGAAAAACAACCAAAACCAAGTGCTGTTGTGACGTGTTCACTGGAGGCTGAAATTGCCTAAGATAAATGATGGATATTTGCAAACTGGAGAACTTAAGCACTCAAACAAAATCACATTTGATCATGGTCTTAATTAAATATCAAACATATTATAACACATTTTTAACCCGTACTGCAATGTCACAAATATATTGTGTATAACCTTGCCCTCGCACATATTTTTAAGGTGTGACATACTTTTTACAGCCAAACACGGTTTTCCTACAATTTCACCACAACAATTCATTTAAAAGTCTTGTGAATCCTTCTATACATGAAGAGGCAGAGGTACAAAAAGAGGTTGAGGGCAGCCAGTCAGAGGTTCATGGAGTCGTATTAAGGTAAGGGCTTTGCTATAAAATGCTGTAATATTCCAGTAAACCCTGAGGCTGCCTGTTTTGTAAACATGGTGAAAGGTTATTCCAGTACAAGAGAACTTCAGACTCTGTTGACCAGAGTTGGCTAATAGCTGCCAGATAACCAGCACTGCACACGGTCTATATTATCAATTCTTTACTGTGTTTGTCATGGATAGAGCTCACATGAACAAACACACACACGCACACACACACACACACACACACACACACACACACACACTCAAGTAGGAGAGCAAGCCCTTACATGTACTCAGGAAAACACACAAGCAGGCAGAAGTACAAACACACACCTGAAAATAGGTTAGTTCAAAGCAAATTCTCCTCAAAGACTGTCTCTCCTCATCTGCTGTGGACCCTGTGATCTAGATTACCTTTTGAACACACACACACACACACACACACACACACACACACACGCAAACACACACACACACACCTTCAGACCATTACTGCTGCGTGGTGCAGCTGAAAGACTATTGATCCCAAGTTTGTGATTAAAACGGGGACTGTTGTTGCTGCTCAAATGCCATCAACACACAAATCCACCTTATGATCACTTACTCACTCAGTTGTTCTTTCACACTCACACACACACACACACACACACACAGTGAGACAGCATGAATAACTACAGTGCAGAGGAACATAATTAGCAAGCCATGGACCTGGAATCTGATGAGGATGAAGCCAGTAACCTTGGACTGCTAAATGTGTGTGTGTGTGTGTGTGTGTGTGTGTGTGTGTGTGTGTGTGTGTGTGTGTGTGTGTGTGTGTGTGTGTGTGTGTGTGTGTGTGTGTTTGTCCCGACTCCCATAAAGCAGCGGAGTGATTGAAAGCTCTAAATGGTGAAGGTGCACTCAGGGGAATAGGGCTAATCTACATAATGGTTGAGCTATATTAACGGCATCCTGCTGCACACGCGCACACACACACACACACACACACACACACACACATATAGGTGTCAATTGAACGGTTGCTTCTCTCATCCCCCCACACAACCAGTTTTCTTCCTGCTGATCTGACTAAGCCGGTGAAAAAGGACAGAATTGGGAAAAAAAACAAAACAATAAAAACAACATTGTGAATATTGAATAATTATCTTTATGTGTATTATATGAGCTCCTCATTGAACAGCATCATTAAAAATGCTTATTACGGGGTAGCTTTCATGCAGGTTTAAGTACATATTTGGTCACCGTACTCGTGATCACACTCACTGATTAAAGGCTGATCTTGATAGCACAACCTTTCAGGTGACACATCACTGCCACTCCAAAGATCTATTAACATTTCATTATTTATTTTTCTCTGCTAAAATCAAGACCATCAGCGGCATTCTCTAAAACCAATCCTCCATGGCATGAAAGCTTTTGAGAGCATTTCATATTAGTGTCTCTTTCATTGCAACTCCATCACAGCTTGAAAGGGATCAGAAAATCCACTGACAGCCCCTTCTGTCGGACAAAAGTGGTCCCCATCTTGAGGTGGCCGCCTCACAAATGAGCTCAGCTTGATGAGAAATGTGCATTTAGGGAAATGCTTGTGCTGTGTGAGGAGCCGGAAAGGATAGAAAGAAAGGGAGTAAATGGTCATGCTTGCAGTGGGAGTGTACTGTATGTTCCATTGGAGATGGGTGTAAGGTACTCGGCTGAAGTTTTGGTCAAGACGTTCTTATGGTGAATCTCAATTCATTCAACTAACACTGCACAGTAATCTGAATCAATCTGGGCTTTAGTCTGGTTGGTTTTCAATTTTTTGACGACACATAACCTAAACAATGAATAAATGAATCTACGAAAATAATAAACTAATGTGTCACACGGTATCAGGAAGTATTGCATGGTATCTATCTATCTATCTATCTATCTATCTATCTATCTATCTATCTATCTATCTATCTATCTATCTGTCTTAAGACTGTGGTGTTCCCATCTCATACCGAACATACAGTGCAGGAACAAAGTGTAGTATTTGTAGTACATGTGTTGTACATTTCTAAAAAAGCACTGTGCTGTTTTTTAATCAGTTTGTAAATGTGTACTGTAAGTCTATAGCTGGACGTGAAGCTGAGAAAAACCAAAGTTACTGGTGTGATTCCTGCTGAGGCCGTCAGTGCTGAAAATCTATGCACTCACAGAACTGCACAGTGCCGTGGATAGAAGTGGTCACCACATGGTGTATGACTAACGGCTTAGAGAAAAGTGTGTCTGGGGCTGTGTGTGTGTGTGTGTGTGTGTGTGTGCACGTCTGTTTATGTGTGTGTGAATATTACTTCACCGTATTGTTGCTCATAACTAATTTCCTTAAACAACACGAGCAGTAAAACAACAGCAGGAAAGCGACATTGACACGCCCTTTGGAAAGTCACGCAGACATACTCAACCACACAGACACTTAGCGGCGAGCCGAACTGTTTGCATTGATAACCTATTTCAACATTGCAATGCCTGATTCTCCTCAGTAAGGCACAGCACTTTGAAACAATGCATTTGAATGCAACAAACGTCAATGACGCTGCCAACCGGATGCTGAAAAGAGAGAAGGTGCACTGAACACACCAAGTTAAAAGAAAACCCACAAATTACTTATTTCACCTTGTTGTCAAATTGTATTTACAGCACATGCTGACAACTTCATATATAAAATTATGCTGTTGCATACTGCATTGAAAAGATTTTTCTT